CGCCAAGGCTGTCCAAGGGAATTTCTGTAAGCCATCACTACCATCTCTGCACAGGGAGGACGACTCACTGGCCCACGACGCAAAAGAGAAGGCTGACCTTTTAGGCTCCCTTTTTGCGTTCAACTCGACTGTTGATGACGGGGGGAACACACCGCCGACCATCCCGCGGTGTGAGTGCTCCATGCCGGATGTGCGGTTCTCACAGCGCTCGGTTCGCAGAGCACTCCTCTCCCTTGACATCCACAATTCGAGTGGGCCTGACGGAATCCCCCCAATTGTGCTGAGGACGTGTGCTCCGGAGTTGGCACCCGTTCTAACGCGTCTTTTCCGGTACTCCTACTCCCTAGGCGTGGTCCCGAAATCATGGAAGACAGCTTTTGTCCACCCGATCCCTAAAAAAGGCGACCGCTCAGACCCGTCCAACTACAGGCCTATCGCCATCACCCCTTTGTTCTCCAAAATAATGGAATCCGTTGTAAACTGCCACCTCATGCGGTACCTTGAGGATCACCAGCTGATTAGTGACCGCCAGTACGGTTTTCGTCGGGGTCGATCAGCTGGTGATCTTCTGGTCTACTTAACTCATAGATGGGCGTTGGCAGTAGAGTCCAAGGGGGAGGCATTGGCCGTTAGTTTGGACATTGCTTAGGCCTTCGATCGGGTTTGGCACAAAGCGCTTCTTTCGAAGCTCCCTTCCTATGGGCTTCCCGAGAAATTATGCAATTGGATCACCAGCTTTCTTGCAGATCGGAGCATCAAGGTCGTTGTAGACGGTGCATGCTCCGACTACAAGCCTATTAACGCTGGTGTTCCACAAGGCTGCGTGCTATCACCAACGCTGCTTCTTCTGCATATCAATGATATGTTGCAAGCCGGTAGCATTCATTGCTATGCGGATGACAGCACTGGTGATGCTCTCTACACCGGCCGTGCCAATATTTCTCGGGAAAACGTCACCGAGTACCGGAACAAACTTGTGTCTGAAGTCGAGTCTTTGCTGGACAAAGTCTCGGATTGGGGGCGACTAAATCTTGTCCAGTTCAATCCCCAGAAGACACAAGTTTGCGCGTTTACCGCTAAAAAGAACCCATTTGTCGTATCTCCTCAGTTTCAAGGCACTTTTCTTGCTGCCTCAGCTAGCATCATAATCCTTGGCGTCGACATATCGAGTAGCGTGCAGTTTCGTGGTCACTTGGAAGAGAAGGCCAAATTGGCCTCTAAAAAGCTTGGCGTGCTCAGCAGAGCGGGACAGTATTTCATGCTGGCTCAACGCCTGCAACTTTACAAGGCGCAGGTTCGGCCTCACATGGAATACTGTTCCCATCTCTGGGCTGGGGCTCCCCAGTGCCAGCTTCTTCCACTTGACCGCATCCAGCGCAGAGCGGCTCGAATCGTCGACGACCGAGTCCTTTCCGATCGGCTCGACTCATTGGCACTGCGAAGAGATGTTGCATCTCTTAGCATTTTCTTTCGCATTTACCATGGGGAGTGCTCTGAGAAATTGTTCGGATTAATCCCAGCCGCCAAATTTCACGAACGCACATCGCGGCAGAACTCCCGATACCATCCACACCATCTGGATGATTGGCGGTCCACCACTGTGCGATTTAGAAGATGTTTTCTTCCTCGCACAACTTCCTTGTGGAATAGTTTACCATCAGCGATTTTTCCGGACCGATACGACTTAGGGACCTTCAAGAAAAGAGCCTACTCCTTTTTAAAAGGCCGGCAACGCATCTGCAATTCCCCTGGTGTTGCGGTTGTTCATGGGCGGCGGTAGTCACTTACCATCAGGTGAGCCGCATGCTCGTTTGCCCCCTCTCCTATAAAAAAAAAAGTCACTAAGTCACATGTAACGCAATTTGTGAATAAATAAATAATTTAAATAATTTTGAATACCCAACTATACAGCGTGAGACACAAAGTTGAATCGTCACGGTAAGTTTATTCTGCGTAGAACGGACCAAATTTAACAATGAAAAGCTGAAGGTACTCCGGGTTAAATCATGTTTTGTTGTGTTTTAGTTGTAATTAAATGTAAATAAAAAAATTGCACGTTTTTTCTAGAAGCACTTAATAAAAGTACTTTTAATTTTCTTATTGTACATACTATTCGTTATTCATACATTATTCATTATTTTTAGCAAGGTTAATATGTTTATTTAACTTATACCTATTGTTTTCAAGCGATAAAAGATGTCTTATGGAACAGATTTTGATATTTAATAAAATTCCAGAGCGACTCATCCCCCAAATTTGAAATTAGCGCCACTCGCGACCACCTAACCCTAGGCTCACCCTACACGTGTCCCCCGGGTGGTGCTAAACGAGCGACAAAGCCGAAACGATAGACTCGGCTCCTCGCCGTATGGTAGCGGCGTAAAATCTACCACCCCTTAGGTTGCACCATGAGCCAGTAATTAAAAGAAATGGCCCCGAGTTCCCGGCGCCCTTTTAATGGGGCAAGGGTGCGAAGAATCTCCGGGAGGAAAACTGGCGACGAGGTTCCCCACCCGTCACGTCGTCACCCGGAGGGGCGAAAAGTGGATTGCAGAGGCCCGTCTGGCTACGCTGAATGTAAGTGGAGCAATTAATGATAATATGCGAAATGATGAATGATAGAGGAATAGATGTGTTATGTGTGAAGGAGACGAAACGAAAGGGAAGAGATGTCACTGCACATGGCATGTATACCGCTTACTGGTCTTGTGTAGACGAGATCGAGCGGGCATGCTAGGGAGTTGATGTCATCCTTTCAGAAAGAGTGGGTCAATGTGAGAAAGAGTATGAATGTGTAAGCCCAAGGCTGCTGTGGATACGAATAAAAGTGGGCTTAAAGAAGTTGTTTGTGCTAAGGGTGTACGCCCCAGATATGTCTAAGCCCACTTATATCCGAGAGCAGTTTTGGGACATGGTAAGGCTGGTGTTGACGAAATGTAAGTATAATGAAAATATTATTATGTTAGGAGATTTTAATGGAAGGGTTGGGGTGAAGAGGTCTGGTTATGAAAGAATATTAGAAGCGCTTGGCGATGAAATAATAATTGAGAATGGTGAATACCTACTCACCGTATGTGTGGAAAATAATATTTTTGTGGCGAACACTTTCTTTCGCCATAAGAGGAGTCACATGTATACATGGGTAAGAGGGCATGATAGATTTCATAATTGTGGATGAAAAAATGAGGAGCGCAGTGGTAGATAAAACGGTTTACCATGGGTCCAACGTACGGACGGATCATTACTTAGTCTTATGCCGAATTAATGCTCTATTCAGGCGTTGGCAGCATCGGACATCTGTGTCTACCACTGCGTTACAGCGTATAAGAATAGAGAGGTTACAAGATGAAGGTGTGAAAGAGTAGTGTAAATGCAGACTGAGGGAAAATATAAGTGTTTTGAATGAATTATGTATGAATGATTTAGACTTAAAGAATGTATAATGTTAAAAAAGTTTTGGTGGATGCAGCCACCGAAGTATGTGGTGTAAGTAAGAGAAAGAATGAAAGGAAAAGTAATATATGGTGGGAGGATGAGGTACGGATGGAAGTTGAAGCAAAGAAGAGAGCATGGCTAGATTTACTAGCAACCAAAGCTGGTAATTCTGGCGGTATGAACGATAAGATTGAAAGAAAAAAGGCAAACTTTAGACGTATAAATAAGAGAGTAAAAGAAGTTGTTGAAAGAAAAAAGCAAGAAAGGATAGATAAGAATGATAGAATAAAATCTGATAACTTCCAGGCAAATATTAAAATGTTCTGGTAGCTCGTGAAAACTGCCAGGGGAAATTTAAAACAGCCTAGAATGAATGCTATACGAGACTAGAATGGCAGCAGGCTGAATGATGAAGTTTTGTATTTAAAGAGATGGAAGGAATACTTTGAAAGCGTGCTTAAGAGTGACGAGTCGTCTGAAGTAAGTGAAATAGAAATTCCGAAAGAAGTAGAGAGAGAGGAAGGGAGATAAGTGTAGATGAAATAATGAAAGAAATGAAAAGCATGAAAGCAGGTAAGGCAGCCGGATATGATAGAGTAACACTCGAAATGCCAAGAGCTGGATAGGGTGTGGTTGTAGGCCTGCTGTACACTTTGTTTAATTTATGTTGGAAACTGAAGCGGGTACCAGAAGACTGGTGCAAAGCCATTATAGTCCCAATATATAAGGGAAAGGGGTCGCAGCAGGACTGTAAAAACTACCGTGGTATCAGCTTGCTTTGCATTGTGGACAGGAACGTGTTATGGCAAACACTGACCTGTCTGATACGGGCATTAAAGTCTCTTTATAGGGACTCTAGTGCTTGCGTCAGGTTCAACGGGGCCTACTCGGACTGGTTTGCCATTTAAAAAGGTGTCAGACAGGGCTGTTTAGCTTCTCCATGGCTGTTTAACCTATTTATGGATTTATGGACAGTTGTTTGCAAACTTTGAAAGTTGAAGAATGTGGGTAGAGAATGGGTGAGTTAACCGTCATTGTTGCAGCTCGCCGTAAGGCGAAAGAGCTCGGTTTCCGTTTTGTTTGGGTTCGTGACGAAAAGATTTTTGTCAGAAAATCTGAAGGATCAAACTATATTCATATACGAAATGATGATACTCTGAATAGTTTGTCATAGAGTGGCGCTAAATTCGCTAAATTTGTTTTTTTTTATTACATAAAGGCACTTTACAGAATAAAATTTCTATTTACTACCAAAATGTTGGAGGTCTAAGATCAAAAACAATTGATCTATTTAGTATTATAGTCTGTAATTCATACACAGAAAACCATCGTGAAGTAGAGGTTTACCTCTGCGTTTCGCTTGGTGAGTGCAGGTGGCCGGAGGCCCTTTTTACTGGAAATGAGGCATTCCATCTTAGTCCGCACGTGTGACAACGCATCTACATTTTGATTTGTAACAGAGGATAGATGTAGATGTCTATGGGCCGCAGCAACCACTTACCATCAGGTGGACTGTGTTCTCGTTTGTCACCCTTATCCTATAAAAAAAAAACGATATTATAATTATGACGGAAACTTGGTTAAATAGGAGTGTTTTTGATTCTGAAATTTTTGATGATCGTTATAATGTTTATAGACGTGATCGGGAGAGTAATGGTTTTCACGCTTCAAAGAATGACGGGGGTGTACTTATAGCTGTACCTAAGCAAATAAATTCGGAGCGGCTCTTTAGTTTCGAGTCCAAGTGCGAGGATCTTTGGGTCTGCGTAGAAGTAGAAAACGTCCAAGGCAAGTCTGAAAGACTTTATATATTTGCTGTGTATATTCCCCCACCCGTCGAAAAACACATTTTTGAGCATTTTATTAATAACTCGAGTCGAGTATTGGAATCACTCGATGAAAATATAATTGTTGCTGGAGATTTTAATCTAAGTAGTATAACATGGTCTTTAGAGCCCCACGGGCATCTTTGTGCAAAATACTCCAACAAATATCTACAGAATCTCTTAACAGACTTTCTCTCGTGCAATGAATTGAACCAATTAAATCAAATTAAGAACTCTAAAAATAAAATGCTCGATCTTGTCTTGTCTAATATTAACATTGTTGATATTGTGTCATGTCCTGATCCTTTGACATGTGTTGATCCCCTTCATCCGCCATTAGTTTTATCAATAGATTTTACAGATCCGGCACCACTAGTCCCTAATAACACAATTACAAAATTTTGCTTCCACAAGGCTGATTATGAAAATATAAGGAAGGATCTAAATGAAATTGACTGGAGGGAAATTTTGGCTGAATGTCTTTGTGTTGATGATATGGTTGCAGTATTTATGACATAATTTGTAAGTTAATACGGAAATATGTACCTAAGGCTAAACCGCGTAGTCATAAATACCCAGTTTGGTTTACTCCGTGTCTGATAAAATGTATTAAAGAAAAATATAAATATAGGATTAAAGTTCGCAAATATAACAATCCTCGCGATAAACTCTCTTTTGACTTACTGAAAAGAAGATGTGAGGAGATGCTAGCATACTCCTACGCTAAGTATAGAGAACGCCTTGAACTCTCTTTAAAGTCAAACCCAAAATTGATTTTTCATTCCTAAAACAAAAGAAAGGTAAAAGTTCGTATCCTTCTAAAATTAAAGACGATAATAAATTTGTTTCTAATGGAACAGACATTTGTAATGTTTTTGCTAGTAATTTTTCGTCATTATACAGTCGCAATAATAATATTCAAAACTTCGATACTATTCCTAATCTTATGAACCCTTGTTGCAATGTGTACCTTGATTATATATCTTATACAGTGGACCAGGTTTACAATGTTTTAAAAAGACTTGACTTTAGGAAAGGAGCTAGAGCAGATGGCATTCCATCAATATTTGTACGCAATTGCGCTAACGCATTGGCCCTGCCTATTGCACTGATAATCAATAAATCTCTTAGGACTAGTACATATCCAACCTCATGGAAAGAAGCCCTTGTGTTACCTTTGTTCAAAACCGGAGACAAAGAGGAAGCTAAAAATTATAGACCTATTTCCATTATTTCTGTTTTTGCAAAGGTGTTTGAGAAACTTATATGTCCCGTTATTTCATGGCACTTTAAACAATTTGTTACATCTGAAAGGCATGGGTTTGGGAAACCTCGATCAATAGTAACTAACCTTGTTTCCTGTTGTGGAAGACATTACTGAATCTCTTGATACTGGCCAATCCGTTGATGCAATCTACACAGATTTCAGTAAGGCCTTTGACAAGGTTGATCACTTTATTTTACTTGTCAAACTCAAAAGGATAGGTATAGAAAACCCTTTGCTGGACTGGTTTAAGTCATATCTTGCCAATCGGTCGTCAACTGTTGTTGTTGATGGTTATGCTTCTGAGCCGTTTTTTGCCTATACTGGCGTACCTCAAGGATCTCATCTTGGGCGTTTGTTGTTTAACATTTTCATCAACGACATCAATAATTGCTTTGAGAATTCTAAGTTTTATTTGTTTGCTGACGACCTTAAGATCTTTAGACCTGTCTCCTCAAATTCTGATGCAGAATTCTTACAGGAAGACTTAAATAACTTGACATTATGGTGTCGTAACAACGGTATGACACTAAATGCTGACAAATGTCATGTTATAAAATTTTCTAGAAAGAAAACATCTCTTGCAACAACATATTACATTGATGGTCGTATTCTGTTTGAAGTTCCTCACATACGCGATTTAGGAGTTACGCTTGACAATAAGCTTTGTTATAATATCCTTTTGTTAGTGTATGTCTTGTTGGTGTTAATTAATTAAATAAATAAATAAATGCCTTTTGTACGCCGATGATCAAGTCATATTTGCATAGTCGGCGGCCGAGTTGCAAATGATGGCTACTTTAATGAATAGGTCATTAAAAGAAAGGGGTATGAAAGTGAACGCAATTAAGACGAAAGTGATGGTATTTGAAAGAGAAGAAAGTAAAACGTTATGTGAAATAAGAATATAAGGGGAGTTAATTGAGCAAGTGGATGAGTTTGTATATTTGGGATGTTTATTTAGCAGGGATGGTAGATATGATAAGGACATAGAGCGACGAGTGAACGCAGGAAATAGAGTTAATTGGGCTCTAAACGCTATTATGAAGAGTCAGAATGTGTCAAAGATGGCACGTATGGCAATTCATAATGCTGTGTTAGTCCCTACTTTAATGTATGGTAGTGAAAGTTGGGTATGGCAGAAGAAGCATGAGTGTAGAATAAAGGTTTTAGAAATGCGGTCATTAAGGAGTATGCTAGGGCTGAATCTGAATGACATGGTGAGAAATAGTGTGATAAGAGAAAAGTGTGGTTTGCAAGATGACGTTGTGACTAGGATTGAAAAAGGAATGCTTCAGTGGTTTGGTGAGAATGAACGAGGAAAGAGTGACTGTTGATGTAATTAAGATGCACTTTTGTTTGTATCACGTGTAAAAGAAAACCATTATGTCTTTGCACTTTGATTCTTTATTTATTTATTTATAAAGAAAAGCAACAGCTCTTATGAATATACAATGTTAATAATTTATAAATGATTATAACAGCCAATTATAAGTTTCCCTGTATAAATCTTAAATGGTATCTCCTACTCTTAATACATATCAAATAAGAACAAGGTGAAACTAGTAAACTATGACTAAAAGGTATGCGCCTGCGCACGCACGCATGTGTGTGCGTGCGTGTGTGTGTGTGTGTGTGTGTGTGTGTGTGTGTGTGTGTGTGTGAGTGTGTGAGTGTGTGTGTGTGTGTGTGTGTGTGAGTGTGAGTGTGTGTGTGTGTGTGTGTGTGTGTGTGTGTGTGTGTGTGTGTGTGTTCGTTCGTGTAGGTATAGGTCTATAGATATATAAATAAATGTTTTATCATACGTATTATTTATAATATATCAATATAAAAAAAAAAACAATAAACAACATATGTAATGATATACTTTAATGTTATAATAATAGGTATGCAAATAGATAAGTTATTTACCGTAAAAGCTAGAGAACTTCTTGTTTGAATTTATCTTTGGACATGTAAAATATAACGAAGTTCGAGAATTTTTTATTGTATATTGAGCAAATCCGAGTCAAGGGTGAGTTTCTTCCATAGTTAGAATTTCGAGCGTTGGTAGCGAATAAAGGGGTGTGTCTTGTACGCTTCTTGGGTACATTTAAATTTATAGCAGATAGCAAAACCGGGGAATCCAGGTAGCCATTAGCTATATTAAACAAAAACATCATATCTAAGAGAGTACGTCTATCTTCTAAGGACATTATTTTATGATTTCGGCAGCCTGTAACATAATCAGAATAAGTGTGAGTTCTATAATTTAGGTGCCTTATGAGCTTTGCCTGAACACTTTCGATTTGTTGTTTGTGGGTAATATAATAGGGAGACCAAGAGTAAATACTTTTAATACAGTTTGTGTCTGAAAAAGGTTTGCAAATACGTAGAACAAATCCTAGATTTTTGTAAGCTTTTATCACTATAGTATCCACGTGTTTTGTCATTGTCAGTTTCTTGTCAAGTGTAATGTCTAAATCACGAACTTCATCTACTTCTTCAACTGGGATGTTATTTATACTATATGTAAATTTTATAGGTTTATTTTTGCGTGTGAATGATATTTTTTGTATATAAAAGGTAGTTTGTGGAGTCAAAACAGGTGAATATGTCATATATATATGCATTGTATAATAATGGACCTAAACGAGATCCCTGTAGAATCCCGGAGGGAATATTGATGAAGTTAGACCTGTATGAACCAACTACTACGGCCTGAGATTTGTTCGAAAGATAGGATTTTACCCAATGTAACAAGTCCCCATATATTCCCAATCTTTCTAGTTTGGCGAGCAAGATAATGTGATTCACGCGATCAAAGGCTTTTTAGAAGTCTGTATACACAACGTCAACTTGCCCCCCACGTTCCATATTATTAAGAACGAACTCAAAAAACTCCGCAAGATTAGTCAGATGAGCGCCGCATCAAGAAACCATGCTGGGCGTGACTTACGCCTTTCGCTATTGTGCTGTAGATTTGGTCATAAACGATTTTTTCAAATATTTTACTGAAAATATTTAAAATGGAAATTGGCCTATAATTTTCTATTTTGGATTCAGATGATTTTTTATGAATTGGTATGATATTGGCCTCTTTCCATTTAGTATGAAAAAAAGATTCGGACAAAGATCTTTCAAAAATTATTTTTAGGGGACAAAGCAGAGCTTCAGCACAGTTACGTATAAATATAGGGGGGATATTATCTGTACCAGCCGATTTATTGGGGTAAGTTCATTTTAAAACTTTAAGTAAGTAGTTTTTACTAATAACACTAGACTCACTACTTGTGGGTAAATTAAGGGTTGATAAATCTATACTTCCGAAAGGGCTTTAGCACCATAGACCACATACATACCCTTCGGAAAGTTATACAGAAGTCCGAAGAGTACAATTTGCCACTATGTCTGGCGTATGTGGACTATAAGAAAGCCTTTGATTCCCCGAAACTCTTCACCGCTGCATTGGAAGACGTTTTCAAGCTTCTGGACTGGAAAGGATACGGTATCAACATCAATGGCGAGTACATCACTCACCTTCGATTTGCCGACGATATAGTCCTTATGGCAGAATCGCTGGAGGGCCTAAGTACTATGCTCAATGACCTCAATAGTGTTTCCCAACGGATAGGTCTTAAGATGAACATGGACAAACCAAAGATCATGTTTAATGTCCATGTCACACCTATGCCGGTAGTTGTTGGGAGCACTAAGCTCGAAGTTGTTGACGAGTATGTTTACCTGGGACAAATAGTCCGACTAGGTAAGTCCAACTTCGACCGAGAGGTCAATCGACGGATTCAACTCGGCTGGGCAGCGTTCGGTAAGCTGCGACACATCTTCTCGTCAGACATACCTCAAAACCTTAAAACGAAATTGTACAACCAGTGCGTGTTGCCAGTGATGACTTACGGAACTGAGACGTGGTCCTTCACTGCTGGCCGTATGAGGAAGCTCAAGGTCGCTCAGCGAGCTATGGAGAGGGCTATGCTCGGAGTTTCTCTGCGTGATAAACTTAGGAATGAGGATATCCGCAGTAGAACCAGAATAACCGACATAGTCCAACGGATTAGTAAGCTGAAGTGGCAGTGGGCCGGCCATATAGCTCGAAGAACCGACAACCAATGGGGAAGAAAGGTTCTCGAGTGGCAGCCTCGTACCGGTAGGCGAAGTGTAGGGCGTCTCCCCACGAGATGGAGTGACGACCTGGTAAGACATGCAGGAAGTCGATGGATGCAGGTGGCTCAGGACCGTGCTTTGTGGCATTCTTTGG